AAAATAGAGGAGTTGGAAGTAGAGGGCATAGGGAGGAAAAGCCCTTTCGTCTTGCCTTCGCCATCGGCAGGGGGGGGACCCATTCAAGTATACGCCCCGCGCCCCTCTACATCTTTGTACAAGCAAACTGCCCGGTCCACTGGTCAAGTGGGACGAAGCGCATGAGCAGGAGCCTTGCATTGTGACGGTGGGGATTACGGTACTGGCAAAGCCCACGGAACTGCTCCCACATGGGTTTTCATAGCTACCAATATTTATGAGCCTGACCGCCTAATATTGAGTACCCTGTTGTCACGGTTAACTAAGTTGGACCTTGCCTGCGTTATATACTCTATTATATTTTATATATATATTTCATATTTACTCAGCAGCACGCCGTACTCTCCTCGCGCATTGAATTGCCCTACTTCTCCCCTCTCCCAAAGCTGCACTCTATTCACCCCCCCCCTCATGTCGAGCCCGCCGGCCGCTGCCGCTTCCAATCTTAACCTCCAGGCCATCCTGGACCACGACGATCCAGATGCTCTCAATCTGGTCTCCGACAGTGATGTCGACATTGAGGCCGAGTCTTCCGAATCGAATTCCACTGGTCCACCCAATGGAGCTGTGACCGGCAACGGCAATTCAGACTCCTCCTCCGCCGCTGGCTTCTGCGTCGAATGTCAGGATCAGGCAGCTAACGTTCACTGTAACCAGTGCAGCGAGTCCTTCTGTGAGGTCTGTTGCGCCATGTTGCATCGCACCGGTAAGCGGCGTGAGCATACTCTAGTGCCATTGGGAAAGCCCTCCGGAACTGAGGCGAACCCTGCTACAGGAAACCCCCCGCCGTCCTCGTCGATGGATTCAAATAATAGTGAGTCTGCCCTATCCGATGATCCTGCGCTTAAGGTAAGCTGTCGAATTTCCATTTTGGCCAAGTCTTGGCTATATATCCCTAACCAGCGAGCCCCTAACCACGCCCCATGCTAACAGTTTTCCACGGCCTTCTAACCCATCTTCCAATATTCCCACTCACTTTATGCAATACGATGTGCCTTCTTATTATGGCGGCGAATCTACCCTATGAACCCCTCCCCAGACTTCCGCAGCCGAGGTCGACTTTGATGCCAACAGCGGCCAGGTCACCTTCATCCAAGACGGCCAGGACTTCGGCACGTGGATCACCGAGCGGGCCAAGTTTATTCCCCTGCGACTGACCCTATCCGAGCGTAAATTTCTGCGGCTGCTAGAGTCGGCCCTAAATGTATCCGAATATACGGACCGGGTCGATATTCTCAGCTACGGCAACAAATCCCGCCGCATGGTGACCCAAATCAAGGACCTCTGTGCTATTCTGTCCGGCCTTTTGTTGGCCAGTGACTACCGGATGGGCCAGAAACTCTTCGAGGACCGGGCCTTCGTCGAAAACGCCGAGTTTTTCCAGGACGTGTTTGAAATTGGCCGGCGGCACAAAATCATGAACCCCGAAAAAATGCGGGACGCCTACGGCAAACTGATGTACCTCCTGCAGGACTCCATGATTCCCGAAGTGCAGGATTTATTACAATTCAGCTGCGTCAAGCCCATTACGACTGTCTACAACTTTCTGGAGGAGGGCGGGGCTCCAGAACTACTCCAAGACCCCCTAGTCCGGTTCGCCACGAAGGAAATCATCTCCGAGGGCAAACCGCGCTCTAAAGTCCAAGCCGAGACCCGCCAGAAGGAACAGGCCGTGGAGGCCCTGTGCCGTAAATACGCTAGCCCAGAACTCAAACCCGAATCCATTCGCCAGTGCCTCTACAGCATCGGCGATAACCACAGCTACCTGCGCACCAACCGAGACCCGTGTGACCGCATGCTTCGGTACCTGGCCCAGTACTTCAACCCCCAACGCACTGAAGCTCCCGAATTTTCCCTGTCCATCGCCAGCGGTCGGTCCGGGGCCCGACTCTCCCATGACCACGAAACCCAGTACTACTACGTCAACCAGACCCTCACACTCTGGCGCGAAATCGCCCACGAAATGTTTATGCTGTGGAGTTTAGCCGACCAGGACCTGCTGGCTGCCCGGAACTACTACCGCCTCAAGGATACCGGCCAGGGCCTGAACCGGGTCCAGGGCTGTCCCCGCATTTCCCGGGCCATCCACAATATTCTCCACCGGGCCCAAAAGGCGGCAGGCTACTGGGTCGGTTCCTCTGTGGTCCACCTCGGGGACCGGAATGTCCCCAATGCCCTCATGTTCATTGACAAGTACAACCAGGTGGCCAGTATTCTCAACCCCATTGTGAGCTGTCTGGTATACCTGGATACCCTACCCGCGGCCCTGGGGATCACCGAAAACGGTACCGCCGACCAGGCCCGGGATTCGACCACTATCCCTACGGCGGCAGCAGCATCGTCTGCCACCGTCCCCCTCCTCAGTGCCATGGGGAACACCCCGTACACTTCGAGTTCGAATAATTCCTCCACGGGCTCGTTCTTTTCTACCCTGTCATCGACCCTCTCTAACACATTCTCGGCCCTCGGCGGCGGAGACCCGTTGGCCTACAACGGAAACCTCCCCCTGCACGCCCAGCCGTACTACAAGGAACACGCCAAGGGACTGTACCAGTATATCTTGGCCACCTTTGGCAATGTCGAAACGTGCAAAAAACTCATCCTGGCTGACTTTTTCCGGTACGCCTTTGACGGATCTGGTGCGGATAATTTCTTCGACGCCGGGTCGTGTATCGACGGCCGTTTGACGTCAGCGTGGAATTGGTGTTCGAAAGTAGAGAAAAAACCATACTACCCCGTTTTCCTGCTATCGGGGTTTGTTGGGTTTAACGGCGAGGGATTCTAAAGTTAAAGGGGAGAGAAGGACTAATCAAAAACATGCCTGTCTGTCTTGTGTTATTTTTTCGTAAGGTATTTTATTTATTTATTTGCTTCACCGCTCATTTCTTCTACACCATACCTCGGATTCTAATAGAGTGCTATACTAATTCAGTATTGGATTTTTTCATGCATACTTAATGTTTTGGGATTTTTATTTAACGACCAGGGCTAACGGCGGGCCAATTCCTATTTAATAAACAGACTCGGAAAAAGCAATTTGGATTTAGACTGTGTTATGTCAGTCTAGGAATATGGTGTGTACTTGTCAACACTTGGATATGGACTAAGTACATATAATCCCTTGTGAATTGATGTGAAAGCGGCTCGCTGATTCAGCGCGGGTCATTTAATGGATATGGATGAAATTCAAACTAGCTGTATAAGGTTTGACATAATACGTGCACGGGCGAATATATGTGAGAATAGCTTTTAGCCAGTAATATTGGCCCCATCCAACGGATTTTTCATTATACAGCCTGAATGAACTTCTCCCATATACATTTTTGGGTGGATAGCTCGATTAGCTGGGTGAACTCACCCCCATTGGCCCAACTAATATTAGTGTTCCTCCAACCATACTTAAATATGCTCGTAGATGTTTTTCTTGGTGACCATATACCCCACTGCAATATTGGCATTGGCAATTATATATTTATTTGTCCAATAGTGGCCGTTTCCTAATCCAAACTCCCACTATCCGAAAGTTTCCATGGTGGGGATTTCCGGGCGGAAGGGTGGGAAATGAACGGGTCATATATGCCAAACTATCATTTTGAATCATTGGTAAGGACATTATAATTAATACCTACTGGGTAGCATGCGGAATCAACTGTTGGAAGACAGCAGTTGAGCCATGGGACAGCTTGCCAGAAATCCACATTTTCCTTCAGTACCAGTGCCTGGGGTGAATGGTTTACGAATCGTACCATCAATTTCAGTATCTTTAGTAGACTGGTAAATGAATATGAGGTCCGCTGAAATAAATAAAAAACACTGGTGTTAGTATGGTTGGTGCGTTGAGAATGCCCTTCTGAATATGCAAAATAAAGAAGCAATTTATAACCTAGCACTAGTGCACTGTCCGTTTTCATCTTCGGATAAAACCATTTAGGTGGACATTCACTAAACAAATTACACGGCCTCGGAGGAGCATGAATGTACCTCTGTAGATTTCCCGCATACCGAAGGGCCTGTACCTACGGGCCAGTGGCGCCGCATACTGAGTTTACATGTTAATGCACAATTGGTTTGGGCGATTTTACACTATTGAAATCTTTATTTATAAAGCGGCACGAGCGCCCTTCACAGCAGGGCCATGGATTAGTCAGGATATGCAAGGGCGCTGGAATTGGTTTACTTCTGAAACTGAGGTTCGGATTCAAAGGTACCTTACTTTCTCCAACTATTTTTTGGATTGTCAGGCCAGTAGCCCTTTGAGAGTGGATACACGGGCCAGCGTCCGACCCACGGACCACGGCCCGAAACTCAGAGCCAGATGTGCCCTCTATTAATCAAGCCACGACTATATTAAACAAAATGGACCAAGTCAAAAGCAAAATAATAATAATAGCCTCCCTACACACCGCAAACATAATTTTTTAACATAAGGATAGTAGAAACGAGGGCGAAATAAGGTGTGGAGGTGTTACTATAATGCTGCCAAAAACATACAGACTTTGACCGACTGCCTATTGGGGGGCGGGGAAAATTGATCCAGCATCGTTTAAATATATTCACATTGTCCTTTTCGCTCCGAAAGTTCCAACTCTCGCCGATGCCCAAAAGCTGGATATCACCAACCTTAATGATACCTAGCCCTACCTGGCTATTTTTTATTATCATTTAACAGTCGGATCTATTTATTTACTCTTAATTCTTCTGTGCTTATCACCATGACTGCAACAATAATTAATTGTCACAGCGTTTAGGGAATGCAATAGTCATTAAGAGTTGCCCAATTGGGTCCGAGTTGTATTGGGTGTATTTTATAAAAATACCAAAAACGCAATAAACCCTATAGTTCGATGCAACACAACTAAATCAAAAGCAATCTGCACTGATTCCTACTTGTATCACCACAGAGATATAGCGGGCTAAAAAAGGATCAACTAAATACTCGAGATCTTCAACGAAAAATACATTGCGCCCTTCGTGGATTGAACACGAGACCTTCAGATCTTCAGTCTGACGCTCTCCCAACTGAGCTAAGGCCGCTTTGATGACTGTTGTGACGGGTACTTAACACCCTTAAGCTTTGGTGATGTCACCAACGATGTACCTTACAATCATTAATCGAATTATCACCTTTTTACTATATTTAGTTTAGTTTATCAATATCAATATTATATCATACCTATATTTCGTTTATCACATTATATATCAGATTCATATCCATATATCTCTTTATATATCATTTATGCCGTCTATTTTCTTTTATCATAGGTATACAATAGCAGAACCGGCGTAGATATAATATCCATTATTTCTACCGCACAATATTTCTAGGGTATAAATACCCCTTCAAATCGCAACCTGAATAAAACATCTTGATTTTATACTTGTTTACTTAGTATAGAATTGTATCGACTTATAGTCTACAATTCTCTGCCTATTTTCGACTATTGATTATTATTTACTAGTGTCTAAGTATTTTTCGCCACTCTATAGCTATCGGGACTTTTTATTTATTTATTTCGTCAAGTTTTTCCCATCGCTGCACAACATGACTTTTTTCTGCTATGTGTTATATATTCAATGTTAATTTTACGAGGACCCCCCTAATTGGTTTACCTCCCCCCTTGCTCCATTTAATTTAGGCCAGGATATCTATAGGCCCCGGCGGGCCATTCCTCCATTAGCATAATATTATGGTGTCTGGGCTGTTTTAAGGAACTACATGGACAAGGGACAACATTTTTATATATTAAAAAACCTCCGATACACGCAAACCATGGTATCCATTGGTAATTTTATATGGGCTAGTATGGCCACCTTCGGTTTCGATTACCATTATCTGGTTCAGGGATATCATTTTTGAAGATGTGGCGCCTTTTTTTTTCAAACACTATAGTACTTTTAAAGTGGGAATGTCGCTGCATAATCATATTTACCTCTTATGCGCCTTATATTAATCGATACATGATTTTCTTTGATCCATGGCAGTGTTACCCAAAGGGGCACGTGTGGTATATGTGGGCTTTGAGGGCAGGGGTGGTGTATGAAAAATATGGGTGAAATTCAGCCCAGCTATATAAGGGTTTACATTATACGTGTATGGGAAAATATATGGGAAATGTATTTTTAACTAGTAATATTGGCTGAATCTAATGGATTTTTTGTTATACAGCTTGGATGAACTTCTCCCATATGGAACTGGGATGGTGTGCTCGTAACTATACTAAAACTGAGCCAATAAGACTCGTACGTTAGTTCCATGGAAACGATCCTGAAACCGGTGTATGACCGAGCTTCCTATTCTCTCTACTCGGTATGGTTGGCCCAAGAGCTGGATAGGGAGCTAACTGTGTGATATTGTGTTTTAATGTATACTATTGGCAGCGAAGTTTAGCGGCCGGGTGAAATTCATTCACACACCCCATGTTTGTTTTGGAATTGTGGCTGGTCGTTGTAGTATTGTCTGTCTTCGGCTAAACCCTATAGTTTTGGATTGACTGCTCACATGAATCAATGACTCTCTCCGGTTTGAGTACAAGAATGAGTGGTCCCATACCTTCTATCGTATAACCGACCTTTCTTACTGTTGCAATTAATAACTAATGAATAGCCAATGTGCCCGATATTTAATCATTACACTCTCCCCCTTCTTCCGTTACTTGTCCGTTACCAACTAATTTAGTCCCCTTAATAGTTGATTAGTCGAAAGACTCGAAGTTAGGCCGAGCCATAGACTTACTTACTTACCTACTTACTTATATACATTACGGACGGTTCTTTGGTTTTGTCCAACCGGCTTACCCGGGTCTAGTATATATGTTTAATTGGCTTTTGGGCTTTTTCGGTCTGGGGCGTCTCCAATCCCTCTTGTGTTTTCGACTTCCCTTTTTCCGGCGCTCCCCTTTCCGCTGGTGACGAGCGCTGAACCCCTGACCCCCCCCCCTGACCCCCCCCCCTCTCCCACCAACGTGACCACCCCCCAGCTTGTGCCCTGAATCGTGGGAGGTTGCCTGATCATCGTGTGATCCCTTTCCCCAGTTTTCGGTAAGTCCGGGTCCATTGGCGTGATGGTAAATAGCCGCCCAAGAATGCAGTACTCTGAATGTAATGTAATATTCGTGTTGCATACCCGGGGCATTTAAGGGGCTTACAGTATGTAACTAACAACGCATCCGTGGTCGTCTTTATTTATTATAATACTGATTATTATTATTGCCCTTTCATTGCTAATAAATGCCTATTATGGTGGGGGTTTTACGGACACTTTCTTCGCCCCTCAGTTCATCAACCCGGATTATCCGAGTAAGTATATTTCTATATAATGGCTGCCCCGCGCCGAACAACTGACACGATGCCCCGGGGTCAAGGAATCGCGTGAGACCTACAGCTCATATTGTCTCTTTACTTCTCCCACTTTACTCTGTTGGCTGGTGTTCCCAAAGGAAGATGAAGTCGTTTCACAGGTCTGCTTGGCTAATTCCCTGGGCTGACTGCATTGAGTCGCAGGCGCGGACATGCACATCAGTATGGAAATAGCGCGACTTGGTTTCCCCTCTCCCATTCACGTTGGAGCAGTGGAGGAGGATTTGTTTAGCCATGCATGACTCTCCCTATACATACTAAGCGAATAGAGATCACCCCTACTCGGCCGTAGTATAGTTTCATACCCCTTATATATGATGGACCCGGGGCAGGCCTAAGGGGAGAACGGAAGGGCAGTAATGGGGGGGCCAGGAGAAGAGAGAGAGATAGGGTCAAGTCGGTATAATCGGCCATATGAACCCTTTCAGGGGGAGAATGTCGTGTGGGGGGTTTCCTACTATTATTTTTTTAGGGGGGAGGGCCACCGTAGGCGTTTCTCTCTTGCTCTCTCCTCGGTCTTGTTTATTAGCCCGCTTGCGAACCCGACGGACGGTTTCTAATTTTTTTGGCTCGCCTGGTGTATTCTATTGTTTCCTTACGTGGCTGGGTCTTGTTGGTGGTATAGACCTGCTGCCGTCGTGTCCTTCACATTCAGTCTTTGCTACGCTGTCTATCTAAACTTATATCCCCTCTTCGTAGCTTGGCGCCTTTTACCCCCCCCTCGCACATTCACGCCGTCGCTTATCGCTAACTACCACCCTGCCCTACTCACTTGTATCTGTCTCAACTCCAGTCAACCCAACTCAACTCAAGCCAGCCATGCCGCCTACTTTATACGATTATTACCAAGACCACTCCCGGCAACAGTTCCGGGGCAAGGCCGTGTGCCAGCTTAACTGCGCACTATGCGACGTTCTGGTGTGCATGCGGGGCATGAGGGTAAGTTTCCTAACACAGCTGTTCACCACAAGCCGCACAGCCTGGTCCCTAGGCTGTCTATGAACTATTATTTTTCATTGCGAGAGTATCTTTTAAAAAGAGACTACTACTCGCTCCACTCCACCACGGGGGTTATCGCCGACCTAGGCCCGAATCCCGGTTTAGGCTACGGAAGAGGGGCAGCCGTGTGTGTGTGTGTGCGGCCACCATTACTGTCCCTTAATAGGGGCGGGCGCACGCCAGTCAATGGGGAGGAGGAGGAGGGGTACGCCCCTGACGTGTGGGATGTGACACCGGAAGGCGCGACATGTCAACGTTTCATTCACCATGGCCAGTGGGTAGGGGGAGAGGAACATCTCTATTTTGTACCTATTCCCCCCATACATACCACTAGCCCTGGATTTGCCGATGCCCCACATCCCCCATCGCCTTGGAGTGCGGGAACAGTGTACCTGGGCAGACCCTCGTGATTGACCCGGTGAAGGAAGCACGATGATGGCTCGGAAACGACAGGGTCCTCGCCCATCATCCATCATCATCCAGGGGGGTTTTCCTCCTTCCCGGTCGCTCTGATCGACCTGGGCCGAAGTGATTGTTACGTCTCATCGGCTAAGTCCGAATGGCACAGCTGTATTATTGCCATTATTAATAATTATATTATACATCATTCCTTATTCATTCCCTCTCTACCACAGGCCCTTCTGTTGGCGGACAACCGAATCGAGCTTTACTCCACAGACGTGCCCCCTTACATGTAAGTCCACCTCTCTAACCTGCAAGAAAACCCTCGGATGGGACGCGGGCTTCTACTGTATCAAATAGGCCCTTTATAGCATAGAATATAGCCATACGATTCTTGTTTTGACCATTTTGGATAAAGTATGATTTGGACACCTATGCTAATCCCTATTTATATCCATGTGCCACCACCAATAGGGTCCAGCTTGTGGGCGACGACTATACAACCCCATCATGTCGCTGCAAAATCCGGAATATCGCTTGTTTAGGCTGGTAAGAATTATAGTTCCACTATAGACACCTAATGAAGCCGGGTAGTATACCCAACCACTTGTTTAAAAACCACTAGAATCCCACCGATGTCCCTATTCTGATCTGTCGTATTATCTAACAGCTTAATTTTGTGAGACTTGCTAGCTAACTCTCTTCCGCCGCTTCTATTTGACTCGTTTGCCACTATCCTCATATACACCCGCATACGTGTGTCCCACCTTCGTACAATATCCTTGACGCCGGCAATGAATTTCTCTCTTCCTCAGTGGGACTGAATTGGGCTACCATATAACCCAGCCGTGTGGCGGATGCATGAAGGCCTGTAACAATGGTCATTTCTGGATGTTCCGCACCGAAACCGTTCTGGCCCAAGAACGATTAGATGACACTGGTAATTACCCCTTTATTTATCCATATACATGTGCTCATATGTTAGATTTTCATGAGCCCTAACGCGAATTTGATTATTTTTTTCGCAGTTCTATTCCTTAAGAAAAATTAGAACAGTACTCCTAACATCTTGCATCTGTATTGGTTTTATATATTGAATGATTCAATTCTATAGGCGCCAACCTGCTACTCTGGTCTTCCCTCCCAGATAATGAGCAGGAGAAGATAATTCAGCCCTACGACTATGATATTCTCTGCCGATGACCATTGGGCATTAATCATTTTATTTTGAGCAGTGTTTCTCAGCCCGCCCCTTCCCTCCACTATGCCCTACAGGC